GACTAATGATTAAATACATACTAATATCTAAACATCGAGTATTTTGGTGGTGATAAAGAGTCTAACCGACTGCTGCACTGTGATTGTTTTTCAGACACAACTCTCCAGCTTTGTGTATCCTGACGTTTCTGTGAGTCCACACAAACAAACACTGTCCACACAATAGAAACACAATGAACTCACTGTTTCCACTGTTTTCTCATTCACACATTGCTCAAACACACTGAACGACAGGAAGTTCATCTGCAAAAGTGTAAATGTTATTAATATTGTGCTGCTTTCTGGAGTTTGAATCAATTGACTTAAAGAAATAAAGAAATATTGGTTTGTAAGCGATTAATGAATATTTTCATAATTAATCTCAAGCGTTGATTATGTTTGATACAAAATAATTTGATTCAGGAAATATCAGAAAATATCAAGTTCTACCTCCAACGAGACATGAATTCAGTTTATTGTCACATCAGACAAAGTAAAAGCAGTAAATCTGTCGTTCAGTGTGTCTGAACAATGTGTGAACCAGACAACAGTGGGAGCAGTGAGGGTTGATGTGTTTCTGTTGAGTGGACAGTGTTTGTGATCCTGTTGGACATTGTGTGGACACACGAGCGTCAGGACACAAAGTGTGGAGCGGGTTAGAACTGAACCCTCAGACACTCACCTGTTCTTTTTACTTCCTTTGGTTCGAGCTTGCTTTCGTTTTGTTGACCAATGTGTTTGACTTCTTTTGAATGTTTGTATTTATATCCAGAGTTGACTGACATCACTTCCGCAGGTTGACCTGATCTTAGTAAATCAACCTGTCGACAGCAGGCTCTTATTTTGAAGTCTCCGGAAGTGTCATGGGCGGAAACAGGAAGCGCCGTCAGCTGTTTCAGGAGGACCGACCGGACGGTGTCGGTGTCTTCGGCTCTCGGTGTGCGGCTCGTCCAGCGGCTCTCGGGCCGGTGAGGAGCAGCGGCAGCTCGGCCTGGTTTCCTCCGGAGCGGCGGGATGTCCGCTCTCAGCAGCAAAGCGCTGCAGGAGCAGCTGTCCGCCATCATGGCGGCGCTGACCACGGCGGCGGTGGCGGAGATCTGCGAGCTGGTGGACGAGGGCTACGCGGAGCTGCAGCTGGAGCTCAGCCGCAAACACCGGGAGAACGAGGACCTGAAGAAGAAGCTGCACCTCATCGAGTCCATCGTGGTCCGGGGCGGCGGCTGGGTTGGAAAGGCGGCGGTGCCGGAGGTCGAAGCGGCCGCGGAGGTGTCACATGAGGCGGGGAAACCTCCGCAGCGGGACGGAGGAGCCGCGGTGCCTCTGCGGGAGGAGGTGAGCACACAGCCGGCCTCCACCCAGGGCCGGAGCTGCACAGGTCCAGGGCTCAGCGGACACTCAGCGGTCTGTTGGGCCCCCGAGCGAAAATGGAAAAAGGAAAAAGTCCTGCTGACAACTTGCCTGAGAGAAAGTTTGTGATGATACAAATCAGATCCAGGGCTGAACTGAGCAGCTCATCATGTTGTGAATTATCTCAGAACATTAAGGGGACGCTGTTTGTCAAATTCAAATTTCTGTTAATACACTTTATCACATTATTTATCGTCCGCAGCCTCCAGAGGTGGTGTTGATCAAAGATGAAGACTCGGACACTAACGACACCTTTGAGGAAGGTGAGTTTCTCCACCCGATCATTAATCAGGACACGTTATGATCCGGCATCACTGGAGCGCTGCAGCTTCATGGAAACTTATATTTTCAAAAGACTGATGAGAATGAAAGTGTGAGCAATGAATGTGAATTCACTTCTGTCTATGAGGGGCCATCAGGGACATTATTCACAATGACCTCTCACACACATGTGAAGCTCTTACATACACTACTGAAATGCTCTCATATAATATATATATAACATTTTTCACCAGAATGTGTGAGAGGATTTCAGACAGAAGGTGTTTCAGTAAAACCAGAAGGTCTTCGGTTCAACTAAAATGTGCAATTCACGTGTTGATCGTCAGCCATGTTGTTCGCAGCACTAATGACATCTCACGATGACAGGAAGGCCTTCCTGTTTAACTGTTATTTTCATATTTACTACTGAACTGTTATAGTTTACAGTTCTATGTCAGAGCATTTCAGCTGTGTATATGAGCACACGTTACTAGTATGAGGGAAAGCATTTTAGTAGTTTATGCAAAAAGTAGTGTGTGTAAGAGCATTTCACATGTGTGTGTGAGATGTACTTCTGAATAATGTCCCTGACGGCCCCTCATATCTATCAGTGACTTTTATTTTGCTTCCGTCGACTTTGTATCAAGTTTGTTTCACAATTATTAAACAGCTGCTCTTGATTTTCAGAGATGATTGAAAACGTGTCTGAATTCTCATTGAGTACTCACACTTTCATCGTGGTCAGTGAAGGAAAAGCAGCTGTTTGTTGTCCTCACGGGCGGCTGCAGCCCGGGGGTGTTGCATGACTCTTCTACTCACTGGTTCTATAAATGGTAACACGTGAGTTTCCTAAGGCTGTGAACGACAAACATGAAGGTGAACAATGATTTTTTTTTAATCTTTCAGATAACAAAACGTGTGCTGATGGGGGGAGAGCTGTGATCAGAGAGGTCGTCCTGTCAACTCCGGTCAGCCTTAGCGTGAAGAGACGCTGGCCGGGACACGAAGAGGCGGAGAAGCAGTCATCCTCCGAGCAGCTCACACTGAAAACGGAGACGCCAAAGACGAGCGGGGCCGTCTACACTCTGGACTCCACTCACAGCGAGCCGGGCTGCTCCAGTCAGTTTGGCGGTGAGGAGGTGGAGGCTGACTCCTCACAGATGGACCCAGACGTCCACCTGGTCCACCAGGAGTGCTCGATGATTTCTCCGAGCTCCAACAGACAGACTTATTTTGGGAGCAGCTCTCTGATCGAGTCTCTGACCAACAGAGCGGAAATGGATCTCAGCCTCACGTGGACCAAACACTCAAAGAGTCAGATGTCGTTTCCTCAGTTTCACCAGAATGAAAACATGGATGTTGACGCTTTCGGGCTGAAGCTGACCAGCGCTTCGGGATCAACCTCCACAGACTGTCAACTCTCTGAGAGCAGCAACTCTGGGTTTGAGTATGAGGACGCTGACATGATGAACTTCGCCCTCTACAGGGACCCGTCAGGTCGATCCCAGGTCGGGCAGCTGAGCACCGGCTGCTTAGGGAAGCGGTTCATATGCTCCATCTGCAACAAGACGTACGCAACGACACAGAACCTGGACGTTCACATGAGGATCCACACGGGCGAGAGGCCGTTCAGCTGCTGTCAGTGCGGCAAGAAGTTCACCCAGTCGGCTCACCTGAAGTCGCATCTGAGCGTTCACTCCGGAGAGCGGCCGTACGCCTGCACACTCTGCTCCAGGAGCTTCATCGTCAAATACAGCCTCAAGTTACACATGACGAAATGTCACCCAACCGTCAGAGGGAATGAGTGTGTTCTGTAAATATAAAGTTTTAAAAAGAAGAAATCTTAAATGGAGCAGAAGCAAAATGAGCCCAGAGGTGAAAAAGCATTTAAAAGACTTTTCACCTAATATTCATTTTGGATCATGAAGAAATAATCAATTTACTAGAAAAACTCAAAATATTTGATGGTTCTTGTTTTTAACTCGATAACTGAACATGATTGGTTTTGCCATTTTGATCACATTACATTTAGCTGATGCTTTGACCAGAAGCGACTTACAATCAGTGCATTTAACATTTATGAAGGGCCAGTCAGGGTTCAGCGTCTCGCCCAAGGGCACGAAGGCATGCAGGTTGGGAAGACTGAGATTAAACCACCAACCTTCTGGTTGGAGTACGACTGCTCTACCCCACAGCCACAGCACCACCTTTGTTGTATGGAATAAATTTAAACAAGAATCCCCAGATTAGAGTTTCTCATTGTTATTCTAGAGTGAAACCACAAAGTTTAACTTGTGTACAGATTAAAAAGTAATTCATAAAAAAGGCTGATGATTGTGTAAAAAAACTAAATACATAAATGCACTTCCTGTTAACAAAGTATGGAATCGTTTTGTATCTGTTATTATTTATTAAAGGTGGAATCAAATTTCACTTGAGGAATTGAAGGTATAAACATGTCCAATGTTGTAGTTTATTAAACTTTGTTGTTGAACCAGTCATTTTATTTTGATCTTTTTTCTTTGATGTCTTCCAAAACTACATTTCTAATTTAATATTTTTCTTTTACGTCTTTTAAACCTGATATTAATTCCCTTCTTCGTCCGTTATATTTTTCACATTCTATGCGAACGTAGATTATTGCTGTGGTCAGTTAGTGATTATGTTGACACCTTGTTTTGTCAGCTCTCTTTTCAGTAGAGTTAGGTTTTCTAAGGGCCCTGGAATTCTAATGTTTTAGTTTCTTCGTCTGTGTTTTATTGAAATTATTTTTTGCCGCGACAACATGGACTTCTCTAAATTGGAGTACTCGTCATTAATTTGAAATACAAAACATGCAGTGGATATTAGAACATGTACATTATGACCATGTATCAATGATAAAAACATATTAATTGACATTCACTCTATTGATGTATGATTTTCTCTAACCACGCAGACTTTGTCCTTGTCACACACACACACACACACACACA